AAATAACATCAAGTTATGCTCAATAATACAAGAAAAGTCACTATAGGCAGATAGACGCTTGTGCAAAAGTAATGCCAAATAAAAAAAATATTTTGTGCTTTTATACAAAAAAGTAGGTAATTTATTTCGAATTTAGCCATGGTGTAAAGAATTTGGCCTAATATAGTTTCTCTTTGGCGTAAAAAAGATAGTGTTCATCTGAAACTGAATTTTTCCATCACAAAACTTGGAAGAGGATGTTACATCTAGGATTTAAATCTTCATACCTAGCATTGCTATCTGATAGATTGAGATCAAGATGATAGCCAAAACGTACCTAAACTTACAGAGACATTACCATTAAAAAGTTTTAGTGGCTCAGTACGGATAAAAACTGAAACTAATAAAAGGCATATACAAATAACTAATTTAAATGTGAAACTGAAATATTATGTAGTGTCCCTTGTATTGTGTATAGTGGAAAAATGTTTAACCTCTTGCCAATTAATTAATAATAGGAAGTACTGACTCATTAAATATGTTTAAAAAGCAAACTCTTGCTCAAAAAGGTATACTACAAAGTGGATAAATTTTTTTACGATTCCTTGAATTAAGTAGTTCATTTTAGTTTATGTGTATACTCCTGTATATATAGGGTGTTAAAAAAAAAGTGTCACAAAATGAAATGGTGAATAGTATGACCCAAAATAAGCAGAAAAGTCTTAATAAATATATGACCGCAAATTAACGGTTTCGGAGATACGGACCATTTTGTGTTTATAACAATTTTTTATTATTATAAAAAAACAATATTTATAAACAATCAATAACAACATAGAGTTAAATGAGATGTTCAAAGTGCCCTCCCTCCATTTCAATGCAGCTACGACATCTCCTCCGAAAGGACTGTCGGACTCTTTCCAAAACACCCTCATTGGCTAGGATTCGATGACATCCCTGCTCTATTCGTTGCTGCAGCTCTTCGAGGTTATTTACAGGAGTGGCGTACACTAGATTTTTTAAGTGTCCCCAAAGAAAAAAGTCAAGCGGATTTAAATCAGAGAATGAAAAAGATAATCAAAAAATGATACAAAACACAAAACACTCCGTATCTCTGAAACCATTCATTTGCGGACATATGTTTATTAAGACTCTTCTGCATATTTTGGCCCATACTACCCCCCGTTTTATTTTGTGACACTTTTTTTTAACACCCTGTATATTTATCGATTGTCATATTTGTACTTAGGTTGTGCATTTTTGTTTTTATATTATATTTTGTCTTGATATTAGAATTTAAAAAATTTTAAAATAAAAAATTTCATTTATGAATATTTTGTTTCTTTTCCTTTGAATTTTAACTTATGTTATCTATCTTTGTTAATAAGAATGTAATTAATTCTTCAACAATAAATAATTTTAAATCGATTCAAATAAACTTGTGTATAATGTTAACGAATGCTGAACAATAAAATTAAGGTGAAATGAATTATGATCAGTATATTTTTTTAGTTGCCAATTTTCTTTAATAATCAGTTTGAAAGTATGTAGTCACTTTTATAGATTATAAATGTAATAATTTAATTTTAAATTAGTCATCAAACATGGCCATCAATAACTTGTATGCACAGATCAATTACTTTCTTGTATGGTTGGGTGCTGGTAAACCCCTTTATGTATTTAATAAATAGAAACACTTGGCAAAACATACTTTATTTTAATAAAAAGCACAGAGGTGTTATTTTAAATTGATTTATTTATGTTTAAAAATGGTTTATACATAATGTTTACTTCTTTATCTTGCTTAACACTTTATAATGTATATTTCTTGTTCTAAATTTAAACATTTAGCCCAGTCTCTTAAGGTAGTAAACCCAGGTAAAGGATAATGAACAGTTCTTAAAATCTATAAGCCTTAGGACGAATGCTTCTTAGGGAGATTGTGGATGCTATGTCATCCAAACTTCAACGAATTCTTATTTTATTTTCATTGTATAAAACATTTATTTGACCCAGAGTGAAACATTTACTTTACTTTCCTGAATTTCCACTTGAGAATTATTTTTCAACTGGCTAATTTCTTCTTTCAATGAAAGTATTTCTATATTTGATTTGTTGCATTTTTCAGTAATTTTGTTTAGTTCTTCACGAAGACTCTTAATAGTTTTCTCTAAAATAATAATTTCATTTCGGTGGTCACATCTGAAACAATAACATACAGTTAATATTGAAATAAAAGCAATTATCACTTCAAAGTTTAATATTTAATAAAAAAATTGTTTTGAAATGATTGTAATGTTAATTAGTACATGCTAAGTTGTGTAATTTTCTTTTCAAAGCCACATTTTTTGTTAATAAGGTAAATTTGTACATACGTTTCTAGTTCTGATGATACCAATAAATTTTGAGTGTCTGTTTCCAAACTTTAATTCTCCTTGTCCTGGTCTGCAATTGACAATTGTCTGGAATGCCCCGAAATATTAACAAAGCTCTCAATAAATGTTTGTCGATATATTTTTGCCTGCCTTCTTAATCTATCGTCACTTTCTGCAGATAATTGTCTTTTTTTCAATGGGAGATTTTCAGTAGGAACTGCCGTTTGTTTTATGTTTCTGCCAGTCTTAGTGGAGTAGTTTAATAGCCTCTGTTGTAAGGGTATTTCAAAACTACCCTTCGAAAAATGTATGGAACAAATACAAGCTTAAAAAAGAAACAAGACATAAAATGAATCATATTCAAATTAGGTTTGCAAAAATCATACCATTTTTCAAATTAATTGTATCTTTTCACCCGCAACCGTTGACCCAGGCTTTGGCTATATCTGTTTTCGGAAATCCAAAATACTTAATATTTGTTCCCTTTGTTTTTCTTGAATAGTCCTTGCTGCCAAACACTGTACAATCTGGCATTTTGTTAGTAACTATACACCCTAAAATATAGTAGATTTTAATGTACCAATAATATAATAATAATAATGATATATTAAAATAACAATAATAAATAGAAACTATTTTTTTTATCTTTAAAATACAACAAAAATGTTACATCACCTAACTTTATATCAATTACACTACCAACTTAATTAGAAATTAATTTAATAATACGTACCAATAATTTCTAAACAGGCCTATTGATATATAGAAATGATATTAAATATTAAGATAAATATATCTATAAACTTCAAAACACTACCAGGAAAATATTAGAATAACATTGGAGACATAGGCAAAACAAAAATATGCTCCGAAGGTGACGTCATGCGCAAGAATGACCAAATTTCGTACCGCTTACCGCTTCACCTGTATTCTTCCACCATGGTTGACACATTAAATTTGAATGGACAATGCTCTGACATGTGATGTTCTCAACTGTGATTGGTGGGTGTGAATAATTTCGAAATAGGATTATGCGCAGTGTCTTATGTTATTAAAAGATATGTCTTAAAGGGGACAACGCACTATAAAATTTAAATTGAATTTAAAATATAAACGGACACATAAATCACTTATCCGAGAATGGAAGATCAATTATCGTTGCAGGATATATTAGATAAAATTCAAAGAAGTAAAAACGATTTAATTAATGTTATAGAAGCCAGTGAGACTAGACTGCGTCTTGAAATAGAGGAGCAAAATAATAAAATTAAACAATTAGCAAAACATTTTATTAAAGGAGAAGATAGAAATATTAGATTCAACAAACAGAAAAAATAATATTATTCTCTTTGGTTTAAATAAATCACCGCAGGACGTTACAGCACAACTATTTTGCCAAGAGTTGAAACAACTTCTTGAAGTTGATCTAAACGAAAAAGAAATTAATAATATATACTGTCTAGGTAAATTATTTAATGCTCTCATTAAAGTTGAATTAACAACATTTTTGCAAAAAAGAATTTTACCACTATAGTCCAGACTAAAGTGTTTCTATTAATTACAATTTTTTGCGAAATTAATAATGTTAAAAGATCCAAGAAAACAATAGTAATACAAAAGTAGATAATACATGTGATATTACGGCAAAAATCTTTAAATCTACACCACTGAACTATGCAATACATCACCTAACCTTACTTACTTATGAAAAGATACTTCAGCACCCACATTTTCCAGTTTTTTGCTCAAAATGCACTCGCGAACCATGTTGTTAGCTATACACAAGCCGACATTTTTCCAAAAAAGTCAAAAGATTAACAAAAACACCCAATATGCAACAATTTACTGGATCGCAACGTCGCAAACTATCGATGAATAAAATACTATACGTGATGTCCGTGACGTATAGTATGAATAAAACAAAGTTATTTTAAATTGCGGTGGTGTCACGTTTAACGCTTTTAAAATCCTTGCATTTATTTGCAGGAATAATAATGGTGTTTGCCACAGTTTATCTTAGTATTTGCAAAGTTGTTACTTAGCAAGCGTATGTATGAAAACGATAGGTACAAAAATGCCCTGCCTAATGGTGTAAAAATTGATTCTGCTAAAATATCAAGTCTGCTGAAAGCAGTTAAAATAGATTAATCTACTTTGTACATATTTTATACGTTTTTTGTTTTGTTAAAAGTCATTTTATTTAGAGATTTACTATTAGAAATGTTTCGGGAAATATTGCAACATCTCTGTCCACAATACGTCGGAATTGGAAACGCTGCACTAGGAACAAAAATGAATTGGTGGGGACGCTTGATGTGTCGCAATATATCTCGAAACTATTCTAATTAATAAAACTTGTTGCTATTAGTGAGTTATAGGTAAAAACTATTTTTAAAAATGAAAGGGATAAACTACACAGCCTGACAACAGCGCACCAGGAAACGCATGTCGGTTCATTTAAGAAATAGCTACGCGCTACGTTTCTTTGCAATGTATGACTGGGTTTTAAATGTAAATAGAGGAGCTTTGGCGGGCCCTGTCTATGGTTACCTAAAATTTATCCATTACCATTCTTCCTTTTCTTTTTTCTTATTTCTTGAAAACTAATCAAAACATGACCAATTTATTTATTCTATAAAATTTTAGCGAATGTGTCTACCAACTTTCTGATATATAGGACATGTTATGTGCTATTGGATTATGATCAAAGCGAATGTGCTCTATTAGGAAAAGTAGAAAATGAAACTACAGCATCTTTAGAAAAAAAGGTCCAACCAACATTTAATTATATTAATATGGTTAGTAGTGTTATGCATTACTTAATTCCATTAGTTTTCTGCATGTATGTTGGAACCTGGTCGGATAAATTTGGAAGGAAGCCATTTTTATTGCTGTGCATAATAGGTGAGTTTATTTTATGAAATGTACCAATTCTAGAATTTTTTTTTATTACTTAGTATTCACAATTTTTATTTAGCTATTTTATATAAAAAGATTACAATGAAAGTGGGTTTTCTCCACTGATCTGTAATAATATCAATGAAAAGGATATTGTTATGATATGTGTCCTACTGATAAGGCAACCAACATAACTAATATGTTGGTTGCTACTAAAAAATAAATGTCACCACGTTAGATCAAGTTCAGAAGGATACAGAACATGACAGGCAACCCGTTAGACGATATTCGACGTTTATATGAACAAGAATGCGGCTTGTATGAATTGATATTGGAATAAAAAGTTATATTTACAAGTGCCCGGATGTCTTTTATTTACCTACAAAACCAATAACATAACAGATGGGTCCTATGATTGAACGTTTACGTTAATTTTAACACGAATCTGTTATGTTATGCTAACAGGGAATAGTTAACGTATGAAATTACAGTAGGTGTCGTATCGGTATGATTGAAACGATCGATAATAGAAGATGTTAAGCTGGCTGTTACGAATGGAAGAAAGTATTTATTTGCGTTATTGCGCGTGCGCACAAAATGTACCTAACTTCACTTCATTTCTAAAAATAACTAAAATGAGGTTTCTCATGTTTTTCTGAATGTAAAAACAACAACAATTAGGTTAGAATTTTTTGTAGTTTATTTTTCGTTTTATTTAATTTATTATGGCGAAAAGATTAGCTAAAACAACTGTGTAATAGTATGAGAAACTACTTAATTTTGTTGGAAAAATCAAAATTATTCTCACGGAAAAAACAAATATATTAGATAAAAAAAAATCAAACCTTTGGCTAGTATTTACAAATCATATAAATTAAAAATAAATTCAAATATACTAATAATTCAGATAATTAGCAATATAGGTATTAGATAATTAAATAATAAACAAATAAAGTGGTAACATAGACGTTGGGCACTTAACGGCATGTTATTCGAGGCTGTTGAGGCGATATGTTAAATTAGAACATAACAGATGGAAAATAATAGTAATGTGTTATGAAAGACTTTACATCATATGAACCTGTCTCGTTGCTGTTAAAACTCGGCCTAACATGTACGTTACGGAAAACATAAACGTTCAATCATAGGACCGATGTATGCTATACAGCAGTGCTCCGCAACCGGTGTGCCGCGGCACACTGGTGTGCCGTAAGCCGACTTGAGGTGTGCCGCTCTTGCAGACAATACGAATCAGATTCGTATTGTAGCGAGACCCGCGAAAAATAAAGCAATCTGACAACAGCGCCGATGGTAAACGTCTATCCGTCTATCGGCGCGGCGCGGCGGCTTGATTCTCGAAGGCGACTAAACTAGAAAGATCCGTGCCGTTCGAGGCGCGACTCGATGTTTTCCTGAACATCGCCACTGCCTATATAAGCGCGCCTGTCGTCGCTCAGAGACTCAGAGAGAGTCGAATAGTCAAGTGAATCAGATAAATACGCGGGCAAACAAATAAATCGTAGAGTGAAATAAATAGTGAATTGCTATATAAATAAATTCTTGTGCCTTATAAATAAGTGAACTGGACTAAGTTTTGTTGCAGTATCTACTTTTATAAATAACTATAGTGCTTCAAATATGGATAAATTTTTGCTGAAATCACGAGCAGATGACGAAGAACCTAGCACAAGCTCCAGCATAAGTGCTGCAAAAAGAGCAAAAAAGGTGCTGAAAAGGAAGTACAATCAAGACTACCTTCGATATGGTTTCACTTGGTGTGGCGACGAAGCGGCTCCAAAGCCTGAATGCGTCATTTGCGGTGAACAGTTGTCAAATGAAGCAATGGTACCCAGCAAACTAAACCGTCATTTGATCACAAATCATCCCAGTTGCGTCAAAAAAGACATTCAATTTTTCCAACGGCGCTTGGATCAAAATAAGAAACAAAAGCAGTTTATGAAATCGGCGGTTACGGTTTCTGAAAAGGCATTAGAAGCAAGCTACCTTGTTGCAAAATTAATTGCACAACAAAAAAAACCGCACACTATCGGTGAAACGCTTATTAAACCAGCATGCATGGAAATTGTTAGACTTATGCTTGGGCCAAACGAAGTTAAGGACGTGAGTAAAGTTTCTTTGTCGGCCGATACTGTTAAAAGACGTATCCAAGATATGTCAAGTGATATTTTGGGAACACTAATTGAAAAAATCATTTCGGCTGGAATTTTTGCGCTTCAAATCGACGAATCAACCGATATTAAAAATAAAGCACAACTGATGGCTATTGTACGTTTCGTTGACGAGGACTCTATTAAAGAACATTATTTATTTTGTAAGGAGGTTCCAGAGAGAACTACCGGTGAACAAATTTTCCAAGTAACTGATATTTTTTTTAAAATACATAATATTCAGTGGACCAATTGCGTTGCTATTTGTACAGATGGTGCTGCTGCAATGATGGGCAGTAAGAAAGGTTTTGTATCTTGTGTAAAACAAAAAAATCCGTCAATACAAATTACACATTGCTCAATACATCGAGAAGCATTGATGGTCAAAAATTTGCCCGAACAGCTTTCGATCACAATGAATGAATGTATTAAGATCATAAACATAATTAAATCGAGAGCCTTAAATTCGCGAATCTTTGGAATACTCTGTGAAGAAATGGGAAGCGAACATGAATCCTTACTGTTTTATACAGAAGTTCGTTGGTTATCCCGGGGAAAAGTTTTAGCTCGACTGTTTGAACTTCGCTACGAAGTGCGTGAGTTTCTTTCAAGTCAAGATATGTACGATCTATGCCAGCACCTTCATGATGAATACTGGATAGCCAAACTTGCATACATGGCGGATATATTCGAACATCTGAATGAACTTAATAAAAAAATGCAAGGACGGAATGAAAATATATTGACGTGCTCCGATAAATTACAAGGGTTCAAAAAGAAACTTGAACTTTGGCAGGAACAGTTGCAAAAAGGATGTCTAGAAATGTATCACAGGACCAACCACACTACGATCGAAAACAAGCAGTTGATTGTGGATTTGGCCCAACAACATTTAAGTATGCTTCAACAAAAATTTGAATACTATTTCCATTCTATCAACACGGAACAGTACAATTGGATTCGAAATCCTTTCGCAACCAATGCAATAAGTTCCACGGAAGCACTGCCATTGCAAACTCGAGAGGAGTTCACAGAATTAAGTAATTAAGTAATGATATGACCCTAAAACTTAAATTCGACGAAGTTCCGTTAGATGTTTTCTGGATTTCCATCAAGACAGAATATCCACGCATCACCGACAAGGCCATCTTCACACTACTTCCGTTTTCCACAACATATTTATGTGAGCAAAGTTTTTCAACGCTTGTATTAATTAAAAATGATAAACGGTCATGCTTAAAAGATCTTGACCAAGAAATGAGAGTTGCGCTGTCTAAAATTGAGCCGAATATAAAACTTTTGTGTTCAACGAAGCAAGCGCAGGTATCACATTAATCAGTCATCATCATGTCAAAATATTTATTACTATTGACGTGTCAACAGAAGTAAATTTAGTATACCTACCTGTCCTACCTAGTATTTAGTATAGTTCTCATGTATGTACCTATTTGTATTTTTCATTCTATCTGAATAATAAAAAAAAAAATAAAAAAAAAATATGTATTATGTCCTGAGTGAAAATTTTGATGCCCCAAATCTGAAAGGGGCTTCTTCACATTTTAAAACAATAAAAAAAACTAAGGTAGTTTGGACATCCATAAATAATTAGTATACATGGAGTGAACTGACCCCCGACCTAGCTATGCCACTGCTATAAATATATTTTAGATTTTGGTGTGCCACGAAATTCTAGGGAGCAGTTTGGTGTGCCTCAGATGAGGAAAGGTTGCGGAGCACTGCTATACAGGGTGGCTCACGCTCAACGGGACGGAGCTTTATGGGAAAACGACCAAAGATATAAAAAATTCGTTTGGGAGGAATACGTAGGTTACAGACGGCTACAATTTAAAATTTGTTAGATGTATTCAGGATGTCCCACATAAGAGAAAATATACAAAGTTATATTATTTTTAATGGAACACCCTGTTTTTTATTTTAGAATTAACAACTACATCAAAAATAATGTCAGTTAACTAAAGGTTCCTTATTACTATTATTATTAGTTTTCGATTTATTTGAATTTTTAAGGAAAAAAAGTCTCCCAGAAATTAATTGTTTATTCTTGTTTGAATAATTTTTAATGAACTAATGTTTTTCTTTTTATGTGGGACATCCTGTATACATCTAACAAATTTTAAATTGTAGCCGTCTGTAACCTACGTATTCCTCCCAAACGAATTTTTTATATCTTTGGTCGTTTTCCCATAAAGCTCCGTCCCGTTGAGCGTGAGCCACCCTGTATAATAATGAACGTTATCGCTACCACCACTGAGACTACTGCTGCTACTACTACACAAAAGGCGATGAAAATCCTCCAAGGAAACACAGCCATGGATCTAATATATAAAATTGCCGAAGAAAAACCGGCTGACATAATAATGGCGGAAAAAAATAATATAAAAGCAAAAAACGAAAAATGGATACAAGATGAAAATGAAAAAGCGGTCATTAAAATTATAAAAAATGTAAAAAATTAGAGACACAGGGAATGGACCCGGTTTTGTATGCATAGAGATAAAAAATATCGTAATATACAGTTGCTATGTTTTTCCAAACGTGGAAAACAAATTTTAGAATACATAATAGCCCTTAGAAAAGACATAAAACAGCACCAGAATGAGATAATAATAATAGCAAGTGACTTTAATGCGAAATCAGTCTTATGGGGTTCAAAGTTTAAAGACAAAAGAGGAGAAATACTGTTAAAGGAGAAGAGGACTTGGTAATACATAATCAAGGAGATAAGATAAGGGCAAAAAGTGAATCCTATATAGATATATCTTTTAGCATAACAAAAAATCTGATGTGTCCAACACATGACTTTCCTATCTAGTTAAC